AACTTGGACACAAACTCTCTAACCCGACCCCATAAATCCATGAGTGGCCGACACTATCACCTCACATCCTCGCTCGGGCGTGACTCCACAGCGTCAGCACATGCCCTGGTCTCGCCAGCGGCCACTGCTGTCTGAGACAACGGCTCATGGTGCAGTGCATAATGAATCCCTCCCTCTGGCGCCTTCGGTTTTCTCCTGCTAATCGGGAGGTAGTTTAGCTATGGTAGCACTCTGAACACGCCCACGTTTCAAAGCCGCTACACGACGTCCAACTCCATTTATCGTGGATTCGTGGTGGACAATAACGCTGGACGGTGCGTCGACAGAAGTATACACTATTGAAGGCAACATATGTTCGCCAACCAATCTTCTGTATATACTACAGCTGCCACTACGCGACCTCTGGTCGTTAATAACCTCACTCAACAGTTCGACATTTGATCTCGAAGTTCGACAGGGTCGCATTCTATAACCAGTTTCGTCCACTTAGATTCTGGACCGGATTTTTAGAAAAGCTTTCCGCGATGTTGACGGTCTCGACTTTACCCCATGAGGTTGGCCGAAAGATCTCAGCTAAATGGCAATGGCTGCTTGTTAGCCTAGCTAGTGTAGCGTCTTAAGTGAACCACACCGCTATATCAGCCGGCTCAGCCATTAACTTTTTGAAGATCTGTTATCTTAAGTTGTAACTCCGAACAGAATCAAGGACTACCAGCTACCAGTTTCAGCTACGGATCCATAATGGTATTTCCATTGCTACAAGATCCACGTATATCAGACATCTGTGCGATTGGTCCTCCAGTGCAGTTGCGGGTTCTGGAGTGCGTGCATAAATGATGGAAAAATCGCCGCTTGACAACGGTTGTCTGAGTACTATCGCCAGATGAAGAATACCCACTTCGTCTATAACGAGACAGTCTAAACGTTGCAACATCGCGGGACCGCCTAAGAAAGACAAAGATGCTATTTGGGGACGTTGTTCGTCGTTCACTTAACGGGTTCAGCGCTACTGCCCTTCATCCGACGCCACTGTCTGAATGGATGCAGAGAAGAAATCGACTTAAGACCTGGCTTCGACAGTTCCTCAACACATGATGATGGTTCCTTGACCTTATGTATTATGTCATCGCAGGCGTAAAAGAATGGGTCAGGTTCTCAGACCCTCACTGCGGACTCGCACGTCGAGGGAAACCATCCGAAACATCATCGAGGCCGGCTAAATCAGTCATGACCACTGTCGTACCAAGTAAGCAGACGTCTTACATATCCCGTACTCGGGCCGTATCGCGTGTTCGCATGGAGGAGTGTCTCTGGCATGTGCCCGGTGCACTTGTACTTTAATCAGCTCACTGAGCTTACGTCAATTTCGCTGACCTAGACGTGGTCGGACAAAGATCGTGCGATTCGCTAATCATGTGGCCGGCCTCAAATTTATCTAATGTCCGGTAATAAGTTTAGCGAATGGCCGCAGAATTTGTCTCCTATCCAGAGAACTCTATCCGTTCTCGCGGTCAGGCGAAAGTTAACAAACCCTTTGATCTTAAAATCTATCCACTTGGAAAATTAACAGGACATCAGTGGAGTTTTCAGCTGAAATAAGGGTGGCCTTCAGACAGTGCAAAGTGTAAGCACAGAGGCCCAATAATTTTAACTGTAGGGAGTTGGTATGTACAGAACGGCCACAACAAAATCATAACAGTCGAAAAAGGTAGTACTCAACGCTGAAGCGCCTTCTACTCGGGTGCGAACCTCCCATAGCAAATAGCACAACAAAAGATAAAACCTAATAGACCAGACAAATCCCTATCATTGTGACTACGGTAGAGAGATGGCAGACCTGCACAAAGTCGTGCCCTGACAGTCAGGTAGACTACGGTGATGATTATTTGAGTTAAAGAGGGATCGGACAGCCGCAAAAATAAAAACCACTGCTCAAGCGGCAGAAATACGAGCGAGAAATAAGAAAGGACAGTTCAAACGTTCGTCGACGGTCAGCAGGCAAAATCTTAACCCAAGCAATCTGTTGCTTTATTGTCTGACCGACATTGATCGTTGTATTATGAAAAACACAAAAACGGAATGACCACAAACACGTGCAGCAAATACGCATCACAAAATTCAGACGACAGGACAAACTCTACAACTGATTAATTCAGACAAAAAGACCTATTGGATCCAGGTGTATGCGGGCACTGCTACATAATTACAACACACTTTCTGCACTGCAGTCCGAAGGAACGCCGTCAGGAAGTCATGCTTTTATGCGAGCAACGCAACTTGTGTTAAAAAGCAAGAAACAAAATTATGCATTGAATATTAGAAGCTATTAAATGCGTAATGTGGGAATACATGATCCAACCGAGTTACGCACAAAACGTACACCAGATCGCAGGACGCGGACTTCCGACTCGGATGTTTATTGGCCCAGAAAGCGAACATAATGCCTAAGGGAGAGATCAGGGAAAGGTTTGCTAATTAACTGATGGTTCTAATAAACGAGTTTATCGGTTCATCTGTCGATCAAATAATTTCTGTTTTACTGATCTTCTATATTTTCTCAAAATAAGGTTGTGTAACTCCTTAACTCGTAGACAAAAGGTTCTGAGGTAATTGGGCATGAAACAAACCATTAGACTTCCAAGTGGCAACGCTCCTTCGTTCATTGCATTGCATGAATACTGCACACAGTCAAACACTAAGGTACTAGTTGAAGACGTGAGATTAGGATGCCGATGCGCGGCAGTGCAAAGAGACAGATAAGCCGCCGCTAACTTGTCTTGC